AAATTAATTTATAATTTTTTTCATTCAAATTAAGATAAAGTGTAAAGTTGGAATATCAAATATTATATTAAAACTATAACAAGATGCCAACGTAAGTTAGCAAGTCGAATATAAGATTACATTAAAAAAAAAGGCAAAATTGTTGGTTTTCAATGCAATGATAAAAATTTTCTATCTTTAATTGACAACAAAAATTTTGCATTGGCTTTGTTTGAATTCTTTTAGATATTCATCATCATATAAAAGATTGGAGTTTTAGGCCATTCGTGAGCCACTCGTTTCCAATACAAAAATGTATTGTTGGGTTGTGAATCAGCCCAATTAATTCTTCGTGGAGCTAATCATGACCGAATACATAGATGGGCGACGGCACGGCCCTTTATCTGAATTCAGCTCTTCCTCCGCCGCTCAAAATTGAAAAGTGAAGCTTCCCCTTAGACCCATCACCGCTAAATTAACAAAAACGAAACTTCCCACATCAATCGCAAAGGACCGGACCGGATCTCTTATTTATTCCCAGTTTCAAAGCGTAAACCTTGATATCTGGCTGGTGAAAAAACAATCCCACTCTCACTCCAAATCTTCGCTTCCCCGAGTCTCCTGCAATGGGTGAAACGGGTAATTTCCTCTCTGTCATTCTTGATGGCATCCCCAAACAGATCTCAACTTATTTCTAACTCTGTTTTCTTTTGTATTTTTTTATGTAGATTCTTTCTTCTCGAACAAATCTGCGAAGATCTTCGTAGCCGGTCACCGAGGCCTAGTTGGTTCAGCTATAGTCCGCAAACTCCAATCTCTGGACTTTACCAACATCGTAGTCCGCACTCACGCCGATCTGGACCTCACCCGCCAATCCGACGTCGAATCCTTCTTCGCCGCTGAGAAGCCTCAATACGTCGTACTTGCAGCCGCGAAAGTTGGCGGAATCCACGCCAATAATACCTATCCGGCCGATTTCATCTCCATCAACCTTCAAATCCAGACCAATGTCATCGATTCCTCGTACCGCCATGGCGTCAAGAAAATCCTCTTCCTCGGATCCTCCTGCATTTATCCCAAATTTGCTCCGCAACCCATCCATGAAAAAGCGCTCTTGTCCGGTCCCCTGGAGCCCACCAACGAATGGTATGCGGTTGCCAAGATCGCAGGGATCAAAATGTGCCAAGCTTACAGAATCCAGCACGGGTTCGATGCTATTTCCGCTATGCCAACGAACTTATACGGCCCCAACGATAATTTCCATCCGGAAAATTCCCACGTTTTACAGCTTTGATGAGGAGATTTCATAAAGCCAAAGTGGAAGGAGCAAAAGAAGTTGTTGTTTGGGGAACCGGGAGTCCGTTGAGGGAATTTTTGCACGTGGACGATTTAGCTAATGCCGTGGTTTTCTTGATGGGGAATTACAGTGGATTGGAACATGTGAATGTAGTAGTGGAAAAGAGGTTACCATCAAGGAATTAGCTGAGTTAGTGAAGGAAGTTGTTGGCTTTGAAGGGGAGCTTGTTTGGGATACTTCAAAGCCTGATGGGACTCCTAGGAAACTCATGGATAACTCGAAGCTTGCTTCATTGGGGTGGAGTGCCAAGATTTCATTGAGAGATGGGCTTGTCGATACTTACAAATGGTACTTGGAGAATGTCAATCAATGATGCAGGTGATATTGGCGGTTTTTTCCCTGACGAGTATTTTGATTGGGGTGTTTGTTGTTTTCTGATGTTGTCATCATTATTTATGCTGCTGTTATTGTCATGTTAGGATATGCCATTGAATAATTTGAGGTTAATTGTGTACCAATTATCTGGCATCCAAATTGAGCATAAGGAATTCCCCTGTGGTATGTTGGATTGAACTTTCTATCGTGGGATTGACTTGAATTTTTTTGTTTTAGTCTTGAACTGGATAAGTTATGTTCTATTATGGTTGTGATTTAATATACTCATCTTTGTTTGAAGGGAATTCATGAAACAGCTGAGGTTTCTGTTAAAATCTGGAATAATGTAATTACTTGATTTTGCCATCATTAGTAATGTTACTGGGTTTACTGAAGACATAACTTTTGTAGTTTTTGAAATGTAGCATGTTGGGATGATATGGTAAGCTGCCATGGGCAGTTGAGCCTTCATATTAACATTACTATCATGTATGAGAAATGATTGTTGATAAAAAGGTCACCCCTGTTGGCATGGATCATTAGTAAGGTTGTTCAGTTCATGCTGAATTTTGAGTTTAAATAATTAATTAAATATTTATATTTTTTAAATAGTCCAATATTTAGGCCTCTGTTAATATTTAGTTCTGGTTCCGTACCTACACTTGCCGTTGCTTTTCAAATGTTTTCTTTTTCATGATTGATTTATTCTTACAGGCTTTTATGCATTTTTTATGTTACCAACATGTTTTATCATGAACTTGAAAGATTGAATGTAAAAGATTCTTCTGTTTCTTCACATATAAAAGTATGCCTATTATGGTACAAACTGTAGAATGGGAGAGGGATATGTGTGAATTTGGTAACCTTATTTCACCTATGCATATCGATGTCCATGGTTCCTTATCTATTATGTTATTATACCGTTACACTTTCTGTCTGTATCACCCCATATATCACACCTTGCTCATTCTAGACTTTGAACTCCAAAAATCCAAGATTATAGTCTGAATCTCTAACTGCCAAGGGACATCCATGGTTGTGGTTTAGCAATTACCATTTTGGAAATGTGTCAAAAGCACTCGTGGCTGCAGTGTAAATTTCATTTTGTTGACTGAAGCAGTAGATGTTAAACGTTTAAATTATTATCAAATAGTTTCCTACTACTAGATTGTATTTTGATCCGAATGAATTTGATGCTTTAGCACCCTTCATTCTGGCAACGTACGCATCCCACTCTTACAGTTTACCTCCAGTATGTGCTAAATTTATTTGATCCATGCCTTGGCCGTATCCCACCCTTTCATTTTAAGGGTTATTAGACGAGACTATCGAGAAAGTATGATAGAGTAAATATATTAACTCAATCCTCATGTAACAATATTATTTTTAAGTTTATTTAATGCGGTTGTTATCGGGAGACCTGCGGTAGATCTGTTTTTATTAAAAAGGTGAAATTCTGATGTGATTGCTCGCTTGTCTTTGCATTAGTTGGTGTTTTAGAAATTAGAAAGACCTGATAAAGTAAAGGGGTCTCACCCGATTTGCTAATAGCCCGAAGGACATAAGCTGTAAAGCCACTACGCGGCATTCTCGTCACATCACACAGCCTACAATCCATGTGTTTTATTATTTATTTATATAAGCTAAAATGGAAGAGAAGGAACTACCAATTCAAACTTTAATTTTAGATTACTAAACTTCAGACAATTTTACCAAGAAAAGACGGGAAGTTTTAAAAATGTATCTTAATTTAAGGTTAAAAAACAATGAAAATGAATGTAATTTAAAATATTAAAATCTTTATAATATTTTAAGTTAAAAACAATATAATATATTATAAAAATATATAGTATTTTAAACTACACCCAACCTAAAATATTAAGATTAAGTCTATTTTCACAGTTCTTAAGCCACACCCACATCTTAACATGCCGCACAACAGTACTTCCCAAGAAAAGATGGATGCAATTAGTTAATTTACAGAGGGCAGGGTACATGTATCTCTTCAGGTCTATAAATTACCATTGGTGACGACGCCAACAACAGGGGAATTGGGATAGATCTTCATCTGACCAGTTCAAAAGGTACGTAAACTTTAATACAAGGGGGAGGACCCTGTTCATCAATTACCACTCTTCTCTTATATGCTTTCATTACATCTAACTTTAGGCCTCCCCAAATTGGCTGGGTTTTGAAACAAAAACTCGTAGACAAAACAAATAATAGCAGAGGTGGTTCAGGCTAACAAACAAAAGCATAGGCGTTAGGATGTGTAGTTTGAGACAAAACATTTTGCCTACAGCCAAGTGCTCAGCTCAGTACCGGGTTTGCATCCACAATTTAGAATTTTGAGTCATCAAATCACTGTTTGGAATTTAATTATTTCTTTGCTAAAATCTGTCTTCAGCTACCACATAAGACAAGATCATAAATTTGCTGACATGTGCCACCTCTGTTTTTTTTATTTGGACAACCACCCGACTCAATGCTGACTCAATTTTAATTATTTTAAATATTTATTTATTTGACTGAAATTAAATAAAAATGCTAAATACATGATAAAAGAAAGTATTGTGATCCGAAAATGTAAACAAGATAAGCATGACAAGTAAGAAGAAAAAACTAATATTTTAGAAATACATGAACCCATCTCACAGAAATTAAAAAAATCCCTTAAACATTCTGATAAACACATTATTATGTTCTAATTATTGTTTACCAAAAACAATCAATAGAACAATTTGGGTTGTTTTATTCTATTTTGTTATTATCATTGAGAAATTACCATCATTGATGAAAAGGCCCCACCCACCAAAGATAACAAAACATTGAAACACACCTAACCTAATCTAAACTAAACATAAGCAAAAAACACAACCCAGATTCACGTGCATACCAGAAACCGAAAAAGGAAGCAGAACCCATAATTTGCAGTGCAGTGCAGTGCAGCATGACAGGACACTTCCATGAATCCCAAACCCCATACATCATCATCACCACCCAATTACCTCAACTCTCTTGTCTTTCCCTTTGTTTTCTTTCCCTGTTTCTCAGAATTATCAAAGCTGCATTTTAAATATATAGCCCAAACTTAGACTCTACTTCCATGGTGCCCAACGGCCAAATCTAGGTGCTCTCTAGGCCTGCAGTTTCCCTTCCCTCACATCAAAATCACAACGCTATTAACATGAGAATAAATGCATGAGAAGATTGCAAATTTATTACAGGAATGGAAAACCCTAACAACATATACATCTTTCATCAACTAACTTTGTATTAAATAGGTGTGTAACAATACTAACACATATTTACTGCTCTATTTTGTAACCTTCTTTCTCATGATTTTTTAACCTCAAGAAACAAGCACAAGCACTAACTAAAGCCAAAAGAGGAAGTTCGCATCACTAAAATTTTAAAATTAAGAGAGGAAAAGATCAACAAAGAGAGCAGCAACATACCCATTGCTCTGACCAACATTATGGAGAAACAATGTTAGCACTAAGCAGCAAAAAAATATTTAGTGTATTCATAAATGAACAATAAGATTGAGCCGATTCCACCAATATCACCACCGCGGCCGCCGCCACATCCACCATCTCCCATCAGCGAAAGCTGAAGAAGAAGAGAGCTTGCTGCAGAGATTGGAGTTTGAAGAAAATGATAGGCCTTTTATAATTGCCCCATGCTTCTTCATATGAGCATCCGAAGCCCATTTGCTTCACATAAAGTCTCATGAAAAAGCTCAATCTTGCTTCAATTCCCATTGTAGATGGATTTACAACTGTAATCTCCATATTCCACCACTCTTGAAGAGAGCTTTCGCCCTCACAGCACCTCAAGCCTATCATTATTATAACACACAAAAGCACAAAGAATGAGAGGGAAAAACGAAGTAAAAGCAGCAAAAGATACTATTCGGAGATTTAAGAAATGGTCAAAAATCAAAGAGAAAAAACATAAAATAAAGCACATGGGTTTGGTGTGTGTACGTTTTGATTGTTATTTTCTGCTGCTTTTGCTTGGGCAGATATTGCCTATGATGGGGTTTCCTTGTCCTAACTTAGAAAGAAAAGATTTAGAGAGATTGAAAGAGTGAATAAAAAGAAAGATAACATTCGGAAGGAAGAGGAAGAAGAAATGAGGTAGCTTGCTTATGTGGTGTCTGTACACTTAAAACATAATGAGGCCAAGTAAATGTGGGGAAAAGAAAGAATAGAGAGCGGATGGGTGTTTGTTGGTACGGTTTGGAAGGGAACGGGGGGGACATAGAGGGGGATTGGTTTTTGCCATCACCACAACTCAGCTTCAGCTGGTTCAACCCCAAAGTTTCACTTTACTTGCCCCAGATTAGCTAGATTTGCGCAAGCAAACTTTGTCCTCTTCTTTCCTTGCCTACCCTTCATCTTTTCACAAATTCCCTCTTGCCCCCCAAATGTTTTGGATTATAATTAAATAATCTCAACACATTACCGTAATTTTCTCTTTAATTTTTAACTTTAAAAAATTAATGCGCAAGTTCCCCCCCCCCTTCATTCTGACTGTACTGATGAAACCAGCAGCAAGGCCGAGGTGAGATTTATCGAGGCGACCACCCCCTATGCCTCCACCACCCAGCTGTGGTAATCGGCCTAGACAATAACATCCGGTTTTATGGATTCTAGGGAGTGTAAGTGGCTAAGCCGCATGAGAGAACCTACATCCACTTCAGTCCGTGTCTTTGTTCAATGTGGATGGGGGTTTTGGGAGTTGGGACTTTGGGGTCCCCTCCGGTCAAATGATGCCTACTCACTTATCTTTTTTATTGTGGGACTAACACCACCGGGGCCTCTCCTTTTTGAACCCTGGGACCAATGCCTACCAACAGGGTTGTTCCGCCATTCAGCTCTACGGAGGTTAAACAAATTTAAAAGCCAAAAAAAAAAAAAGTGTACCCCGGATTTCACGTATCCGTCTTTTACAGAAAGTCTCGAGCGTCGTTGAATCTCCTTTTCCTCTTTCCCGTCTCTGCTGCTGCTTTTTGTTGCTTGCATTGTATTACTTTGATTATTGTTATTATCTAAATGTGCCTTGCTTGCTTATCATGCCCAATATCCCTGCTTATTCTTATCGTTTACACATTTTATGTGGGAGGAGAGGGTGTTGGCTTACGAATCATGATATTTAATTTTTATAATTACATAACTTAGTTTTTTTATGTAATTAAGTGTTTAATACTTTTTAATTTATACATATTAATTTCTAATTGATTGAAATTTATAATTTGGACTAAATTTAAACGTTATTTAACTAACCGAATAATATCCTTATAGATTTCGGAGTTGCTCATTAAAATTTGAAATAGAACACTTATAATTAACACACGTTAGGTATCTCGTTATACTAAAAAATATTAGCTATTTTACTAAATAAGTTAGATATCATATTATACATAAATAGTAAAATTAAATATTGAAATTTATACTTATCTTTTTGTTTGTTATATATTTATAATACAATAAAGTATATCATAAATCATTAATTAAAGTTTTTTAAATTACAATATAATCATTAAAAATCAAAACATTACAAAAAAGCAATCAAATTTATCAAGATTTACAATGAATTATAATGTCGCATGATCAACTTATAACAACTCAACAAATTTATTGATGATTATAAAAAATTTAAAGTTCAATGACTAGATATCATTTTCATCATAGTTAAGTGAGCCTGACGTCGGATACAAAGTGGCAATATCAAAGCAAAGCCCGAGAAGTAGACTATGATAATAGAGAACAGGATGAGTCAGAATGTCTGAGGAAATGTCAGATTTCAGAGAAGCAGAAAGTGAAAACGATTGGGTAATATTTAAGTCTTCGGGTTTCGCTGCCTCATCACCAAATAATAATTAATATAACACTCGTTTAATTGATAATTAATACCTATCATTCGTTTAATATTTAGAATAATATTATTTTAAAATCACTTTAATTTAATAAAAAAAAACTTGAATAGGTCACCCCTCGGCTTGGTTAAGTAGACGATGAAAAGACCAACTTTGAGGATGAAAGAATTGTTATGGGCCCATAGTTTGGTCTCCTGCAAAATCTAATTGCCTTGTTTGGGATATCTAAAAGCTGTTCCTTAAATGGCTTCAGGTAGCAAAAACCTTTATATTTGGGTAGCTTTGCCTTTAGAAGTTGAGTGGATACCTACCTAATTGCATGTTTTGCTTTGTCAAAATTAATTTCTCCGGGAGCGCTTAATTCAAATGTAAATCTGTAGGAAAGCAGAGGCAGACCAACTTTCACTTTTGGAGTGGTGTTATCAATAGAAGATTATAATTTAATTATACTATAATAATCAAGTTAGAAGAAAAAGCAAATCAAATATTGATTGTAGAAATGGGACCAATAAGCCAATAATGATATTCAGATTTTGCAAAAAGGCACTACTTTTTCTTTATCACCACTTTTTGGGTGCTGGTGAGTGGTGAGGGATCCGATTTTTTTTTAATTATGCTAAGTTATCGTTTTTCACAATTTTTTCACTTGAAAATTTACTATACTGATTTTTTGAGATTTTTTAAAAAGAATCTGTAATTATTTTTGTTCACTTAATATGATACGGGACCAATATGCATACCATCAACTTTAATTTCTATCACATATTTATTACACGAAACAATCGTAATCAAACAATTCAACAGAACAGTTTGTTTATTTTATATCTGTAAATTTTTACAATGCTCATATTTCATTGTTTAAGCTACACACATAAAATCAGTTCATCATTCTCCACAAATCCAAGTCAAATCTAAAATGCAACGCATCTTTATTGGTTTGTATATAAATATTAATAAATTAATGTAAAAAATTAGAGACGATTATCCTCGTCAATAATGCATATGATTAATCAGCCACTAACTTTTTTTTTTTTTATAAAAGATTTAGCAACCAATGTCGTCGTATGGAAACATTGGTGCCGTGAAGGAGTTGAGCTCACCGAAAATCATATCGTGAACGTCATCTCCCAGACTGCTCGAATCTTGACATTCCAAGTACGTTTCCACGTTCTCAGGGAAGCTGTATTGCATCGGTTCCGACATCGGTAGTGTCAACTGGCACCGATCGACATTCGACGCCCATCATCATCTCTTTGAATTTCGAAGATTGAAGGAGAAGCCCTAGAGCTGAGGTGGCATTCACAGCCTTGAGTCGGCAAGGTTTCGTTAGGGACAACGAGGCTTGCACCCGTGGGTTGTCGTCTTCGTTGCTGCTGCTGTTGTTACTAAAAACTTAGGTTAAGTTCTTGACTAGGGTTTGTTACTGTTGAAGTAGTAGTGTCTATGTTAGAGTTGGGATTAGTTTCGGGGCGGGTTGATCGGTTTAAGCCATTTGATATAACGACTTAGATCAAAGTTTGTCACAGCATTTAATCCCGGTACTCTATAGCAGCCATATCATATGCAGTGGCGCTTCTTCCTGAGTAGCTGCAACAGTCATGAATAGATACCAGACAACAATTAATCCAACATTAGGTGGGTAATTTGAAATTAAAACAGTATTTAAGGTCAGTGGACATCCTTTTAAATTGACTTTGATTTAACCCTTTCGTTAAGTAACAGACACAAATAAGATATGCTTGGCCTCATTCCATTGGTTTCTAGTGTTTGTTTTCTATCAAGAAAATTATAAAGAAATTTACATGTCGTTTTCGGACATCAATGCGTTCATTACATAATGCCATAAGCATTGAAAGCAATGTCCTAAAGAAATTTTTAAAAAAAGCATCATATTCGTGTCAATGTAACATAATATTAACATTGCTAGGGGCGTTGCTTTCTTAAATAACATTTGGCGAACCTAGTTTGGTTTGGAAAATATTGAAAAGAAAAGGCAATAAAATAAAGACGGGTGAAGAAAACAGATGAGTTTGATGGTACCGTATGTCCCGAGATAGAGGTACTTGTTGCCAAACACTCTTCCAATGCGAGCTTCCCATCTTCCATTATGATGATGTCTGTTGTTCGACATTGAAAAACAAAGTAAATGCAACGGGATTTGTAGTCGCTCAATGAAAAAACTGGAATTTTAAATTTATCCGATACTCTCTTAAAGAATATTATACGAACAATTAAATTAAACACCGTATTAAGTTGTAGGACATAAGGTTCATATATATAAATACCTGGCAACACCTCTATATTTCGAAACTCCGCGAGAGAAACCACTGGACTTCCTGCAAGATTCAGATCAAATACATTAATATTAGCTGAATTCGCATCATTCTATACACAGTTATATATAGCGTATTTATGCATGTATGGTGACAAGTAACAGAACCTCATCAATCATTGATCTCACCTTCTTAATGATCCGATATATTCTTCTCTAGATTGACTCTCCATTTGTTTCAACTCCTTCTGGTATGTTGATACCTGCATATTGTTCATATTACAAATCTTTATGTTTCTTCTTCCCCCCACCTTTTTAAAGCAGACTCATCAAAATTAAATCTTATGCCATTAGACGCTGGCTAACAACTTCCATTAATACCGGAAAGTTAAGAATGGTATCTTGACCCCAGTACTTGAGTGCTGCTAAATCATAAGCATGTGCTGCAGATTCTTCATCGTCATAAGCACCTGAAAGAAAAAGTAGTAAATTTCCAGAGATTGAGGTAAAAGAAAACCACCATAAAAGAGAAAATAGTAGTTAACGTAAATACCAAGATAGACTGCATTTTGAGTATTAAGGCATAAACAGCAGCAGCCACCATGAAAAGCAGAAGAACAAACTGATTAAACACATTGTTATATAACTCAATTAAGTAAAAAAAAAGCTCATCAGAAGAAGAAGAAAAAAGGGTTACCTTGTCGTCCTTTCTTGTTTTGTGATTCATTCCAACAGTTCTTGTCCCACAGGTGAGCTTCATATCGACCCGTCCACCTATGCCTGGAAACAATCCAAATAATGAAGATGCACTCCACCGACTCAAACCATGAAAACCAGTGACTTTTACAACTAAAAAGACTTGCCTAGTGACACCTCGATAAATCGAGCTACGCTGTGGAGGCGAGTCTCTTGGGAAACTTCTCCTAGTTCTCTTCTTCACCTTTGTAACACCATTGCTCGTGGTACTGGTGCCGATGCTCATACTGTTATTAATACCATTACTATCTGCACTGTTTCTGCGGTTCCCCTGTGATAATTTCGCCATGGAAAAAACTTGACCATCCATAAGCCCTCCAATGAAGAGGTTTTTAAAGGGATGATGATGAGGTAAATTATAGAAAAATGATATGGATGAGGAATATTTGTACGGTGGGGAAATTACAAATAGCCGGCTACACAGTAAAGAATGTGCCTTTGCCGTCTTTAACCGGCTAGACCTCTCTCTTCTCTCTTGTCTTACCTAACTTTGTGCTGTTTAAATCCCATTTAACACTTCCATTTATAGCAAACATTGTTCAGCCCTTCCTTCCTACGCACTATAGGCTGATGAATGATGATTTAATTTTTGTATCTTTAATAATTTATCTCCTGCCGCTATCTTTGATCTAATTTTTAAATGAATTGAGCTTCATAAAATTTGTACGTGGAAGCTGATTAATCGTACAGAAAATAAGACAATGTTTCAATTCATTCTAGCTGTATTGACGTAGATGCATTAATCAATTAATCAAGTTTGTCTTAATGGCAAGCAATAGAATGTCAAACCAGTGAGAGCTTTAATCATCGGTTAAGTCGATTAAATCCAGTGATTTAATTGATTTTAAATTTTAAAAAATATATAACTTTTCCTATATTGAAGAGATATTTGATACGGTAAATAACTAATAAAATATATTATTTTTTTGTTACACATGAAATTAATTATTTAAAAATTAATATTATTAATCATTCACCGAATATCAAATCTACAAAAATTAAAGGGGTTGATAAATCCTAAACGTTAATGCATATAAAGTTAACATTAGATACTATAAGTTTAAGAGAAATTCAATTATCTAATTTAACACGTCACGCAGTGGTCGGTAATTAAATATATTAGAACTCGATTAAATTAAATCATTGATTTATAGATTATGGACAGATACTTTTCATATATAGATTTAGTTACGAAAATGCTTATTCGTATTGAGAAATTTAACGAATTCTTCTCGATTAGCATCATGGATTTGATGATCTTTAACTTGTTTAAAATCTGACTATTATTTCTCACTTTCGTGATTATTAGAGGTGTAAAAAAAAAATTGATCTAATTTAAAAATTTAAATATTTGATTCTCTACTTCAAGAACGGTGACCATGTCATAGTGCGTTGATGTTTCTCCTCTTATTTTTATAAAAAAAATATAAATAATTTGAATGGAAAGCAACCAAACCCACCAGGTCACCAACCTTTAGGCTTAATCAAAGCCCTCATTTTGCCCGCCCGAAAACCTTGAGCACTTTCCGTTTCCCATTTGTGTTAATTTACAACCCATTTCAAAAATCCCATAGAACTCCGAAATCATGGCCGTTGCAGCACCCCCAAACCCCTCAGAGTTCACAGAATCCCGCAGTTCAAGTACATCGACGCCGTCCGCTGGCTTTCACCGGTTCCGCCTTAGACAGATTCGCAGCCATCGCCTATTCTCGCATTTCGTTCCTCAAAACCGCCCACTCTAACTCTCATTCCCTTCTCGCTGCAGCCACTGTCTCGGGTTCCCTTCACATTTTGGCCTCTGATTTAATTAACGGTGGGGCTATGGAATCCAAGGCTACGATTTCGGAGCTGGGGTTTCATTCTGGACCTGTTTTGGCAGTGGATTTAAGGAGGGTGGGACTGAGTGCGTGAGTGTTGGGGAAGATGGGGGGTTAATTTGGTGAGTTTTGCTGGGGATTCTTCGAAGCTTAGTTACCGGAGAATTTTCGACGCGAATGGCTAGTGGGTTATTCGCTGTTAAGTGGGCGTCCCCGAGTGAGTTTGCAACTGGTGGTTACGGGTTTGGATTGCAATGGTGGGATCAGAGGAGACCCGGTGGACCAGTTTCGCAGTTTAAGGGGAACTGGTGAGTGGATTTTGTTGGTTTTACCGTGAAAAAGAAAACACGTAGTTGAATGTAATCTGTAGAACTTATTGTGAGATATTAACTAAATTTAATTTGCATTATGAAGTGTTAATATCCAATCTCGTAAGAATGTTTATAGTGCTTCTTCTCTGCTTTTGAGAATCTGCATTACTTTTATTCTTTTTGAGTAGCTTTGCTCCTTAAGATGACCATACATATGGTTCATTAACGGTGATCGTGATGATTATAATTTATAGATTATACACGCTTACTTTCCCATCATTTCAAATGATGTTATTCTAATCCCCCTTTTAATGTTATCTTGCAGGTGCCAAGGAAAAACATCTGGAGTTGTGCATTCAATTGATTCATCCATCCGGAAACACACTTGTCTGGTAAGATTGCTGCTGCTCTCTCATTGTTATGTTTTTCCATTTCACTGTTAGTTCTGGTTTCGGACCATGAAGTGTTTAAATGATAGCTAGTTGGTGCTAGCTCGTGCTAGGATGTACTAGAGATTAGTGGAATAGTTTTATGCAGATGACCGATGGCTATAGCAGTTGTTACTTACATTCTTATCCAAACTTAAATGGTTCTTTCTTCAATGTTACTTGCAGGGGATTCTGTGCTTCCAATGGAAATAAGCTTTTGGCTATTTATTTATGTATGTAAGCAATAGGAAAGCTTAATGTACCGATTTCCTAAGATGCTCTTGATAATCAATCTGCGGCTTTAAGTGTATTAACTTATTAAACTTTTTCTTCACAAAAGATTAAATCTGAACAGTTTTCCTCCGTTAAAACAATGTTGGAAAAAGCTTTAGGAGTTTGTGCTTTGTCATATTGAAATTTGTTCATTGATGCTTTGGTGATTACTCGACTTCCATGCCAGAATATTTTAACAAATTCTGTTTGCTTGATCTACACAACAGCCTATTGTCCTTTCTGGTGCTGGGGCAGGTGAGGCTCCAATTCTTGTTATCTGAAAGTGAAGTTTGGGAAGTTCAGTATGATAGTTATACAAGGTCTTCAAACATTGGCAACATCTCTTCCACACGGATTCTACCTGTTTATGATCTGCTCCGAAGATGGGATCCTCGCAGCCATCGAACCAAGGTAAGCAGTTCTTTTAGTATCGATTATTGAATTGTGTAATATGTACCTCGGGCAGAACAATGGTTAAGGTTGAGACTTACCCAAAAGATCTCATGAATGACATGTATAATATTGTACCAACTGCATAGGCGAAGAACCCTTGGAGCTGCTAGCGAACCCTGTGCAATTAACAGCTTTGACATTGATCAGCAGAACCCCTCGGTAAATAGAAAGTTCACTCACTTTTTTTCTTCCTAAAGTAAAAACTGAGTTCCTTACAACAGTTAAAATTCAATAAATAATACTGTGCAGGATGTCATATGTAGCTTGGAGTGGGAATCTATAGCCATCTTGACAAGGTCTTGATATGTAGAAATGAACACGACGGTAGAGATGCAACTTTAAGCTGTGTCAGTAAAGTTGAGGATATTGAATTTCATTAGGCCAATTCTGTAGTGTTTTTCCTTTTGGCAATAGAACAACTATGATTTTGGGTTCCCAAAGTAGACATGCCTTGGGAAATATGCATATAAGACCTCAAAATGCTACGGCTCCGTTTCCTTTGGCCTGTGTACTTGGAATTATGTATTTATTTGTTATTATTGTGCAATATGACTGTGAAACAACCCTACAAGGGAGGGTGATAATGAACAACAGTTGTCATGTCCCATTTAATGGTAAACTAGATTTTATTTGTCGTTACCAACTTTAGGGATAATGGGTAATTTTCCTCCTTCCCCAATAAAAGTAGTTTTTGCTCTCTTTTTCAGTAAGTTTCTAGTTCTGTTCAACATCTGAACTAATCACTACAATGTTGTACGTTAACAAAAATACTATGAAATTTAACATCTGTTGCATCAGCTCCAATCGACTCATTTTTTTTTACTTAATCAATTTTAGAACTACAAAATCAACCTGACAGGTAATTTATTAAGAAATATGTTATATTTTAAAGAACAATGGAGTCCTTATATGTATATTGTTTTTTTTTCTTTATTTATCAAAATATGTTTAATCTAGATTTAAATGGGACCATGTCATCCGTAAGTGACCAGATTCTTGAGATAAATTTTACGACTTTACCACTTTGCATCTTGAAGTAAAATTTGAACATTTTATCACTCCTGCAAAGTCACTTAGGAGATTTATATTTATTATTTGGATAGATAAAAGATGATAATTATAAAAAAAATCGACTGAACCAAATTTTTAGCTTAACTGCGTAAATTTTTGGATTGAAAACTGGTTTGGTTGTTTTTTTAAAGTGCATCGATCTACTTACTCCTTACTACTACAGATGTGGCGCACGGTAAGCACAACTTGAATGGTCCATTGCAAGGATAAAATAGATGGAAGTGGAAATGATAGATATATTGTTATTATAGTATTCTATAAAAATAAATAAAAGTGACTTGTGAAGTTTTTGAAGGAGGTGGCGAGAAGAATGGGAGGGTAGTAGGTATTGTGGGATGGATGGCATGTTTGGCAGAGGAGGTATGGTAGGCAATGTTGGCATGGTAGGAAGTGGAGGTAGAGCTCCAGGCTTTGGTAATGATGGCTGCGTTGTCGGCAGTGTGGCAATGCAGGTTGTGGGAGATTGGGGATAGACGGAAATGGTGGCAACGTTGCACTGGGAAAAGCTGGTGGCATCTAAAGTAGATGACGTGCTGCTAGCCCAACATTGATGTTCAACAGTGACAGAGCCATGAAAATGACTAGAACGAAACAATTGGAAGAGCCCATTTCCCTGCAGAGTGTGTCTTAGAAAAGGAAGGTGGTTGTTCTGTCTAATGGTTTGACACTTTGAGTTTTTTGGGGGGTTATATATATATAGCCTGGAAGCAGGGAAAGGGTCACTCAGGTTGTTGTTTACCGATGGTATTGGTTGGAAAAGAAAGCACAGGGTCGTTCCAAATGTTTTGGTAGTTCATCTCCTCGTTGATGTTGGGATTAAAAAAATTGTCAAATGTAGTTGTCGTTGGCCAAAAGCTACCTGAATGGTCAACGTGTCAAACAATATCTATTAGCATGCCATAATTTCAACTCAATTGCTTTATTCCATTATTTTTGAATTAAATAATAACTTTATAATAATAATAATAATTTAAACACTTTGATTCGTAAGCCCATTTTTGTCCGAAAAGCTCTCACAAGGAGTTTCAATAGTTCAAGTCCATACTTAAATCAATGAAATCCTAAAAATGTTGGAATGTGAGCGTTAAATGCACCAAACATGAGATTAAGCAATTGGCT